TAATTCGTGAAGAAAGTTCCTCATAGCCTTTAGATTTATAATGACTGATTAAATCGAAAGAAACAATGCTGACTATAACATGAGATTCGCTTAAACGTGGCTCTTGCTAATTTGCTCGGAGTGTTAACAAGAGATAAAAATAAAATAAATTGTGCAATAATGGAATGCAGTTTCTAATTTTCTATTATCGGAAAATTGGGATTATTGGCCACTTTTGAAGTTCCAATTCTGATCAAAATATGTAGTCAGATTACAAAAAGAAACCTTAATTAATTATTTCTGTTTTTCTCAAAACAATAAATAATTAAAATGTTTTTGAAAATAACATTACTGTTCTAAATTTGGAAGGAGAATGGGTTTTGAAATTTCTTGATGATGTTACCTGACATAACTTTTTCTACAATTGTCCTGTAATTTTATCTCTGAAATCCGTGTCCAGTTTGTGTTAGAGAATGATTAGTTATTAATTCCTCAGTCACTAAATTGAAAGATTTCATTGCTGAGCCAAAGAATGGAAAAGTTCATTGTGTCTTCGAGATAAAATTAAATTAGCGACAAGAGTCGACTGAGATGGTAAATAGTCTTTGCTTCAATAATGTGACGATCCAGAAATTAAATTCCTAACCGGTATAAAATTAAAATAAATTTGACCCAATAAACTTAACAGAAAGCTCAAAATTTAACTAAATCAAAATTTAATTAAATAATAATTAAATTATCAATATATAATAAAAAAAAATTTATCATAGTTAAATCCAGCTTCTAAAAACCTAGAAATATAAAATTTGACAGACAACTAAACAACTAACTTCTTCAATCCAAAAACAAAAGACAGCCAAAAATGCGAATTCCTCTCAAGCAGCAAGATCTGTTTGACTAACGAATTCCAAATTTGGAAAAATTTAAGGGAAAGCTTACTGATCTAGTGAAAAATAATATATATTTATAAAAATAAAAAACATGTATACAGATATAACATATAATTTATTGAAAACAGATTTTAAAAAACATTCATAATTTAGGGAGTTCGTAATTCAAAACTTAACAAATATTAGAAATCAGATCAGCAACTGACAGTACACTGGAAAACAGAATAGTGACACTCAGTCTACCATGAAACGGAATGGTAGCACCTTAGTTTGCTGATGTACAGATATGTAAGTTAGGGTATCCCAGTCTAACGCCTACTGTTATTAATTACAGTGTTTTTAAAATCCAAAACTCCTTTAAAAACAGTTTTCCAAAATAACATAACAGTTTAACAAAATTTTTTCATTCACATATATAAACAAAATCAAACGTAAGTAATAGATAATTCTTCCAAAACAATTTTAAAAATTATATACATGTCACTTGCTATACTTTTATAACATAATTTAATCAAATTTTCAGAAATCAAATATATTATGAAAAAACAGAATTTATAACAGATATGAAAAATAGTAACTGCTCATAAATACACATTATTACTCACTAAACTAACAAAAATCAAGAAAATGTTCAACGAGAACCATACGAATAATCTAAAATCATAAAAACAATAAAAATATCTTATTTTAGGTTTTTGATGCATATAAGAATCAAATAAATACAATTTCCTCATTACTAATACTAATAAAAAATTCTAGATTTTCGTACTTGAACCCATATTAAGGCTACTAAAGTCCCGAACTAGTTAAATAAGTTATGAATCGAGTACAAAAATCATGAACCGATCTCCTAAAATATAAAATTGGTTTATTTAACCTATAAACTAAGCATTAAAATACTAAATCAACCTTGAACTGGCCACTAGGGTGTTGAATTGAACATGATTGGCCTCTAATACATTAAATTGGTCTTGAACTGGCCTCTAATGTAGTGAACCGGTGCTAAATCGGCTTTTGATACATTGAACTGAACATTTAACACACTAAGCCAGCCATGTAGCACATTGCACCGGCCAACAACACACTGAATTAGGTATTAATGTAGTGAACCGAGCAATTAACATACTGAACCGAACCAAAAATGACTGAATCAGTCACTTTAAGTACAAAATCAGTCTTTTCAACACTAACCTGGTCCTTAAAAGTATTGAACCAATTGGTTAAATACTGGACCAATCTTTAAGAAGTCATAAATAGGTCAAACCATGCACTTAACCAATGATTAAAACCCTAAACCGCCTAATTTTATGCTTTGAACATGTGTTAAACCCTAACCTGTTGGTTTATTAAATCTGGATCCTAGATCCAGATCCTACTGTAGCCCAAGACTTGATTACCTGAATTGGTCTAGCCCAGTTCTAGGCCTAGCCCATCCGTAGCCCAAAAACCCCTTAGCTTAAGTGCAATCCAACTGATACGAGCTTGACCTAGCCCAAACATCACCCAAACCCGATGACCCTTTCTGTACACAACCCAGTTTAGGAAATCAGGTCTACATAGACCCAATTATCAGTCGAACTCGTCTTCTCTAACCAACCTTCGAACACCCAAAAATCTCATAAATTTGGTATTGTTAACCTCGAAATCTTTTAGAAATCTATTAGGCAACGGTTAAGGACAAATTTTATGTGAAATGTTTGTGGTAGTTCCGGCCAATTTTAGTGGTTTTTGCAGTCGAAAGGGTTGATGGCCGACATCTGTTTCTCTAGCAATTTCTCACTAATTTGAGCTATTCTGAAAAAATTCGATGAGATATCTCGTTCAAGGACTTATATAGAAAAAGGTGTTAACTCAATTTGGTATAAATTTTGCAGAGTCAATTGGATTTGAGTATAGTTTCGGGAAAGGAAATTTGGGGATGAAGGTCAGATCCAGTTCTTTGAGATTTCAATTCTAGTCCCCGAGTTTCATGATCTTTTCAGATTTGATCCGTGAAAGTTTTGGTTAATTCCACCAAGGCCCAACCAATGTTTAGTTTTCATCAATTGAGCCCTCTAATCTTTTAATTAAACCCCCATATTTTCTATATTTATCAATTGAGTCCCTATATTGTTAAAATTTCTAAATTACCACTAAAGTAGGGGTATTACTAATAAGGGTGAGAATATGACTTCAATCTCTTGGAAGAGCATTTGTTAAAAAGAGTTCTAATCTTTCACACTCTTGGCCAAAAGAGATTAATTTTGGGTCAAAATTAGTTTAAGGATAACTTTGGTTTCGCAAAAAGAAAAGGTAAAATTAAATTGAATTTGTTTGCGAATTACTAAAATTAATTAATTACTTGTAATATTGTTTATTAAATAGCAATATATTGATGTCTAATTATTTAAATTTATTTATCTAAAATTATTCATAAATGTTAATTAATGAACAACTCTAATTTAATAATTTTTATGTGATTTAATTTGCAAACTTGTAAACATATGAGTCATGAATTTAAACAAACTAAACTCGAACTTGACTCGTTAGGATGCCTGGCTCTTGTAATTAGCAAAACTGAGTTGTAATCACGTCAAGTCTTGAACTCTTGAGCTACTGATGAGCAACTTAACTCGTTTACAGCGGCACTAGGTAGCTCAGCGTTAATGGCAATGGTGCAGTGGGAACTAACATGGCAAGAAAAAAACAAATACAGGTAGGTCTTCCAATGGGTAGTTGGACAAGAAGAAGAAAATGCAGAAGCATTAATTGATCATATTTACTCGTACAGGTTGTCATCTTGAAATGGCGACGACTTTTTGTCCACACAAATTATCCCATTTTACAAATAAAAGTATTATCTACTTTATTCATTTATTAACACTATGTGAAATTAATTAATTCAAAAGTCGAATAATTAATTCTTTTATAATACAAGGAGTGAAAGCGTTAGAATAGGGCAATGATTAGGGTCCGAATCCTTGACTATTAAGATATTCTAGCATTAAGATCAAAGACAGTGTCATTAAACCAACAAGTAATCGGCAAAATTGAATGTCTAATCTTGTATAAAGTCAATTAATTATATGTAGTACCAAAAGTTTTAATTGATAATGACTCTTAATTTGTAAGTATAAGCAACACTTATCATCTAATTACAAGGGTTATTTTAAAGACTACCCCTAAACATGAGTGGACAAATAAATCTCTTCTAAACTCAGCCCAAGTAGCTACATACATGATGAGTTAAGCACCGCCAGTAAATGCGCATATGGTGAAAATGGGGCCAAAAACACTTACAAAAAAAACTATTAATTTATATGGGCGATTAACTATTAATTTACATGAGCGATGTTTTACTTTCACATATCTAGATATTCCAAATACAGAGTCTATATTCCCAGAAAATGATTAAGAAGCAAAAAACGAAAAAAGAAAAAGTCCACAGCCTAGGCATATATATATATATATATATATATGACCGATCACGTAGTTAATTACAGGTTCATGCCCAATTCAGTAATTTACATTCATATATTTGTCCCCGTCTACCTTGGAAGTTATGTACAGAAATCGTCAGAAGGATCCCTCGTCTCCTCCTCTCTGCAATTTCCATTCTAACAATATTTGCATTTCTGAGGCAAGAAGCTCCATCCATTTAGGCTTATATTTAATATTAGATATTATTTTAATAAATCAATAAACTCAACATCTATTAAATTAGTATCAAATATTAATAATAATGATACCGAGCAAATAGATATTAAAATTCATGACTCATATGAAAATAACTAGTGCCTAAGAGTTTCTTTTCTTGTTTTTTTAAGAGAATTAAATATGTGAAAATCACCATTTAATTTATTTCCCTTCTAAATAAGAAAAGCTAATTAAAGGTTAAAAAAGAAAAGAAAAAGAAAAGAAAAAACCTGCTTACCCTTGAGTGCTAGTTTTATTAAAAAGGGCCGTAACCTTTTTGTTTTTTTTTTTTTTTTTGGTGAAAAAGATTTTTGGGATTAGAATTCTGTCCCCGAAAGATGCAGAGTTCTGCTGGGGAACCTTGAAAACTTAACGGATAAGGCTTTTAGCGGGAACTGCAAAAATTGTAGGTAGGAAAAAATGCAGAGCTAATGCAGGACCAAATAAACAAGGAACTCAGCTATCCATGCCGCTCAACTCCTTGGTAGGGGAAAGCGGTGGGCAGTTCCAGTTGAGCAGCTCTTCAATCATCTGCATTGCAACTCTGTTCTCTTCATCCGCCTCCCCTCCTACCTCCAACTGCGATGACGAAGACGACGGCCCGTCCTCTGTGCCTTCCATTTTCTTGGCCTTGTCTAGCTGCACCCTCATAACCCAGTTGGAGGGCGACCTCGTACCTGCACGCTTTTGCCAAACACCGATGTGGGAATTATCGGTGTCGAGCCTTAGACAAGTGAGGGAAGGCGACGGGTCTTTGCAGCATTTCTTGATCTTTGCGCTTAGAATGTCCGACATGGCCGTCTGAGACACTGGGCTGTCCTCGCTCGTCTCTGACTCCTTTTCCTGGTTGACCGTCACCGGAAAGTTTGTCTTTGCGCTCTGTCCGTTCATCAGTATCGCTGCTTGGTCGTATGCCCTCGCGGCTGCTTCTGCCGTCTCAAACGTCCCCAGCCATATCCTCCTCTTCCTACAATACTCATCAAAAGGAAGATAAGAGATAAAGTGAGAGGTGTTTGATTTACAGGTTTTGTTAGAGTACTCTAGGTTTCTTTTGTTACGGAATAAAAAAACCAAATCTTTTAATGTAAAATGCTCTAGCTAACTAAAAAGACCTCATCATATTTCGTACAGAAAAGCTCATTTGCCCTTGCTAATTCAACTGTTGAAAGAAAAGAGTTCCTAAAGAGAGAGGGAAAAAAAAAAAAAAAAAAAAGCTTTCAGCAGAAGCTAACTTCTGGGAGCTCTCTTTTGGGCTCTCAGAGCTCCCAACTGAACAACAAAAAGAATGAGAAGCCATGGATGAACCATACAATACTTATGCAATGTGCATGTACGTGTCTGTTCTTAAAAATGTATGCAATTTGGGTTGGGGGGGGGGGGGGGGGGAAGGGTACAAGGAGGAATGGGACGTTTGGACTTGAAAAGGGTAAGAAAAGGTGGGTGAGCTCACAATAAGGGATGGCGGATCTCTGATACCCAGGAACCCCACTGGCGTTGTCTGACACCTCTGAACTTCTTTGATTGTACCATGGTCACTTGTCTAGAGAAAGGGAAAAGCTCAAGGAGTTTCAGAGAGCGTGATGTACATTAATGTCTGTATAAAAATGAAGAGGGGAGAGAGATGAAGTTTGAAGGAGGAGTTGCAGGGAGCACCGTGTGCATTAATGAATAAAATTAAGATAGATGAAGGGAGGGGAGTGACGTAGTTGTCGGTGGTGGAGACTGGCCGAAAGTCCGAAAGTCCCAAAGTACGTTTGCATTGCAATAAAAGTTTCACCTGCACAACTACGTCTAAACCGTCTATCAAAGTAGCTCTACATGGATAATTCATACGGTACATGCTATACCTTTTAACAAATACCCATTACATTCCCTCCCCCTCCCCCCCCCCCCCCCTCTCTCTCTCTCTCTATATATATATATATATATTAACTTTGAGCAGAAGGAGAATAATAGGTCGAGATTGTGTCTTACGTGGTCCAAGAAAGAAATGAGAGGATGAGGAGATGCGATACGACAGGGTTGACTCACCCGGTCCGACCAATGACGGTCCAGTAAATTGGTTGCACAAACCTTTGATGGTTAAGGATGCGCAAGAGAACTCAATACAAAATTTGGTTGGGCAGTGACAAAGTAGTTCAATAGCATTTGTACTGTTCACGATAATAAGAATAATAATAATAGTCATTATAAGTTGTGCATTCATTAATTGGTTTTATTCACTTTCTTTATATTATTAGGGTTCTTTTTTGGGTTTAATTTTTTTATAATAATATAAAAATTTGACTATTTTTATAATTAATCAGTATTAATTATTATATTTTGTAAACTTTAATTTTTTTTTTATTTATTTAGTTTATATGAAAATTTTTAAAATATTTTACTTTAACATGATAATGAATCCCAATGGCGATCATTGGATTAATAATAAACATTAATAAAATTTTAATAAAAAATAAAGAAAAATTTTATCCTTAAAAAGCAAGCGAAGTTGAAGTACTTATGAAACGGTGCTTCATCATGATGACGGCAAAGTTTCAATTAAACAACCCCTTATATACCGAGGTATGAGATTTAAATAGGGTAGGCCATTGGGTCTGCCCACGGATTTCCAAGTTCCAACCATCTCACCACCGTCCATATTAGTGGCTGTTACCGTCCACCGGCAGTAGACTTTAGACGGGCGGGTGGGGGGAGGGGGAGTTGGCGGATAGAGTCATCTGAAGAGAACCTGTTGACTACGGGTGAGTCAGCTTAAAAGTTGATCCGAGGTTATAGAATTTGTTCATCTTTGGACTTTAATGTTTATATTTTAAGACAGTTTTTACAACATAAATCTGCATATTCTCATTTGCATGGTTAATTTTTAACTTTTTAAATTATTTTCTTCGATAATTTTTTTAAAAAACATTAATTTTCCCCAAAGGAGGTGTCAATGAATGTTGATCAGCTGCTTGAGTTGGACCACTTCCTTGTTCCTTGCACTAATAAGATCACTTCTTAATATTTTTTCTTAAAAAATAACTTATTAATAAAAATTCTAACTATTCAAAATTGCATAATATATAAATGTTACATTGCGTGTTTTAATATATTTCTATATTCATAAAAAGTATAAAACGAAATGCATACATAAAATTAAAAAAATTATAATAAATTATTCAGAAACAACTATATGCAATGTAATAACATAACAATCACGAGAAAATAAATATTATATATTTTATAAATTGTAACAAATTAATTAAAGTTAAAAAAACTAAAAAAATAATGATACGAAAATATAATAGTTTTAACAAAAAATGACATATGAATATATTAGAAAATTTACATTATTTACTAACGCCCCAATAGGATGGGTTTTGAAAAAAATTGTTATGTGAAAAGTGACTTTAGTAATTGTGCCAAAATAGAAGTTATTTTGTATTTTCATGTTGTTTGGATGAGAATATGGAAAAAGTGATTTTTTAATTACAGAGGAAGAAGGAAGTTAGAGTTTTTGGGGTTTGTGGCTTTTAGAGCTAGTCAGCGGTCTGGAGGGAAGAGGGCATCTGCCAATCTGGTCATTGGGAGGAGAGAGAAGAGGGAAGAGTGCATCAATTGATCTGCTCACTGAGAGACGAGGGAAGATAGCGTCGAGTGATTTGGTGGGCTTCATAACGGGAGAACTAGAACTACACATCCAGAAGAGAGGGTTGCCTCACTTATTCAAGAAATTAGAGGTGATGCCCGATTGATGAGCACTAGAGACAGTGCTTATTAACATTGCGGGACCTCCATTTCCTTGGGCAAATTATCAGAGCAACAACGATTGTCAAACCTGCTACCTCTTCTGAAAATGGACTTGAAGGTTAAGGTCATCATTTTCGTCTTCCACCAAAACTCCAACCACATTTGCCGTTAAAATTGGAATATGCAATCAGACATATCCTATTTTATTTATACATTTCCAATGATTTTGTAGAGGATTTGTCATATTTTTACCATATATTCTTTAAGAAATAAGTTTTAAATGCAAAATTCCCTTAAATTAGACATTTTTCATGAAATTAAGTAATTTGAGTAATTAAAGGTAAATTTTAGTATTTTGAAGCTTTAAGTCAAACATTGGGTTCATTTGATATAGTTCAACTTGTTGCAATTTGTCCATGTGCTATATTTCAGCATTTACAAGTTGTATTCATCCTAGTTGACATGTCAAAAAGAGAAAGGAGGGTTGGAGACCTCTTTTGAACCTTTTTTATGGTCCAACACTACAAGAAATTGCCTTGATTCTGACGGACAAAATCCGTCAGAAAATATTAAATTTCCGTCAGAAAATCCATTTTCGACGGAAATTTCCGACGGTCAATAGTCCATCGGAAAAAAACCCATCGGAAAAATTTTCCAACGGAAAAACCTAACTGTCGGAAATTCCCGGCGGAATTGCACCGTTGGAAATTTCCGACGGCTCAGTTCCGCCAGGAATTTCCGGCGGAATTCTTCCGTCGGAAATTTCTGCTAATTTATTTAAAATTATTATAATTTCATTTTTTATTATGTATTATTATTTATTTCATATTTTAAAAAAATGAAAGACATTAAAAATAAGCACGAAAATATTGATTATTTTCAATTATTATTAATTATTTATAAACATTATAATTTTAATTTTTTTTATGTATTATTATATATTTCATATTTAAAAAAATGAAAGACATTTAAAAATAAGCACATAAAAATATAATTTTACAATAATAAAAACCCTAATCGCAATTAAATTAAAAGTCTTGTAATACAAATTAAAGTGTCTCAAATATGTCCAAATAAACAAAAATACTACTCAGTGTCATCTGATGTACTATCATCATCAGACTCGTCGTCATCGAACTCGTGTCTCGAAATCGGCAATGACGACGTAAGAGGCATAGAAGATGAATCAAGACGATCATGTTTGTCCAGCCTAGCAACCAAATGCTGGAAAGCCTCTCTCAACGTCCCCATTTTTGCTTGCATCGATCCCATCCTCTGACGCATGTCAGCCATTTCTGCTTCTAATTGTATATTACGAGATTGTGTAGAAGAAAATGCTGACTGATAGCACTCTGCTGAAGACGGTTGTGACCTAACCCATATATACGTCCTTTCGCCTTTCCGCCAACTACACGAGTTCAAATGTCCATCTCTGAATAAGTCAGAGTGCTACCAGGAGTATCAGAATCTCTAGTAGATGTTGGAGAAGATTGAGCCTCCTCAAAACGACGCTGATACTTGTGCAGCATGAAAATATTAATTATACATAAAAAAATATAATATAATACAAAAATTTTAAACTTATATATTATATTTTAATACTCACAAATGTTCTCTCAGACTGCTCGTCAACCCATTTCTTGTCCTTCTTCCTAATATGACAGTGCTGCAAAATATCTGCAAACGATGGAATTTTTTCACTTTCTTCCGCCTACAATAATAATCAATAAATGAATAATAGATATTTATTATTATTATTATTATTATTCAATACTTACCATTCTTCGAGCATGCTCGTGTGGGGGAATTGAACCTCCAGTATGAAGTGAGCCGCCCTTCTCAGAGTGATGATTTCCCTTATTCTGAGTACTCACGTGACAGAATTCTTCACTCTGCCAATGCTGAACCAATCTATCCCATATGGAAGAAATGATCCAGTCTGGCCTTCTTCCTCTCATTCACGTCTCTAAAAGCATGTCAGATAATCTATGACCGCCGCGTCGATTAAAAATCTTTCTAAGAAGTGGCCCATCCTCGACATCCCATGTAAAATATTTCTGCACAATTTCAAATTTAATTTAAATGAGTATAATATTATAATTTAAATAAAATATTAAATTAATAAAATACATACTCCAAATTCTTTAAACCATAGATCAGAAGGAACCGTTTTCTAAGTAGGATAAAAAGATGTATATCGAGCCTTAATGATAGTCGTAATCGCATGAGCGGCCTTAGTAGGATGATCAAACCTGAAACATACAATAATTATTTTATTAGTCATAATCAAAATTAAATAAAAATTAATATTTTGTTATAAAATATTTAAAATTTTACCCATTTACTCCAACAGGTCTAATATGTAACTTCTTAGAAATATCACTCTCCGAAGAACTCGAAGGTGGAATATGAGACCTATCAGATTCGGACTCAAATGACTCGGGCAGATGAGGAGATGTGGGTGCCGGCATCGATGGAGAAGGAGTCCTATATCCAGGTGTTGGCATAAACTGAGGTGAAGGTTGGGCATGAGAATGAGTATGACCATAGTCATACTGAACTGTAGGTGGTGGTAGTGGTGGTGATCGAATCGTGAGAGGCGGTAACAACCCAATCATATGAGGCGAGAATCTATGCTTCTTCTTACTCTTAGACCCAGATATACTAATAGCCTTCCCCTTATCCCTCTTATCACCTGAAGACATCTGTATGAAATAAAAATTAAAATTAATACAAATTTAACAATCATAAAATAAAATGAAAAACATTAAATAATATACAAACCAAATATATTATTAACAATAAAA